GTTTGTTTGTTTTGGTTTTTTTTTTTTTCCCCCGGTTAGAGAAATGTAGCTTATTCCTAAACCACGTTGTAACGCTCTTCTTGTTTTCTTGCCAGGAATGAGTACAAATACTTCCAGAGAATGACTAGCACATCCCATGTGGAAGGTAACACAGTGGTTGTTGCCGAGGTCTTCCTCTACTTAATAAAATTTGTTTGTGTGGTATCAGTCACGGAAAAGACTGATAATTTTACTTTTCCCTGACTTTAAAGTCCTGCTTCTGCAAACAGCCTGCCCTTCTCCACCCTCCCAAGCATTTTACCCCTTTGTAAATACATCATCGGCAGACTGTTCCAGTTAGATAAAGAAACTGGGGGTGAATCAGTTTTTTCTGGGCTGCAGGTGAATTGTAAATAAAAAGAATTTCAAAGTCCTGTTTCCCCAACAGTAGAAAACATCATCTAACTGTCTTTACCTACAACTCCAACCTTGAATAAATTAAAAATGGAAAGGTTTTTCTATGCTGATTAATTAGCAGAGGTTTTTTTCAGACTGTATTAGCTTATCTAACTTGTTTGCTTGTAGCTTAGCCTTGGCTATTTGTTCCATCCCTCTGACCCTTGTGACAGTAATTTTGCTTGATTTTCTGAGTGCTGAGCCATCCCAATATGCCAGAAGACCCTAACTGTGATGATAATGTGCAGCAACAGTACTGCAGCCATATGCATTATGCTGCCATAAATCTTCACAGCAGGGATATCATCATTGGCTCAAAAAAGTCAGTGTCACTGCTGTTTTAAAGTGGGAAGAATACGATGGAAAAGCATCACCTGATCTTGCTTTTAGTCTGCTTGCATACCTACACTGGTCACTGCTGTAAATTAGCTATAGGTCTAGACAAATCTGTGTTCTGGCCCTGCAGGCATCCCAGAGTGAATCTGTAGTAAGAAAATACATATATTTTTCAGACGTTGGATGTTTCCTTCAGCGGTGGTGCTAGTGGTCTGTGCTAACATATCTAAACTGACACTACAGTATGTGTCTTGGAAATTTGCTCGTGAAGCTTACCTGCAGGAAAAAGGTCTTTAGACAGTGCTGATAAACAACTGGAGCATTGGCTCTCAGGTGTGATCTAGTAGATCCAGCCTCTCTCATATCAAGAAGCAGGGCAGATAGCTGTGCACAAATACTATTTTCTTTTGTCTAAAATCCCTCATGCTGTGTAGCACTGTAAAAGACTTCCTCTTACCTTTTGTGAGTCTCAGCCTCTGTGTTCATTTCTCTGACAACTCCATTTGGTCATAAAGAGAAACCCTCTTCTTAGTAGGGCATAATAAGAGATACGTTATGAATGTTTGGGTTTGGTCAGAAATGATACTTGCCAGTGAATTCTATATGATTGAACAGCTGTTGCACTTCTGCTTTGGATTCAGTTTGGCTGGTTCTGTTCCTAAAAGTTATCCTTTTATGTGACTGGTTTGGGTTTTTTTTTTTCTTTTTTAAAATAACACTCAAAGCTGGCAATTTTTCCTGAGTATATAACTTGAGTGATGGAACATGCAAGCACAAAGTCGATTACTGTATGCTGCTCGGATTTATAAAGAGAACCATGATGTTTTTTCAGACAAAGAGGACTCTTTTGAGGGTATGAGTTGGTCTCACACACGAAGCTTAATTTTGCCCTGTAACTGTGACAGAGCCAGTCGCCCTATAATACATGTAATGAGCAATGACATGCCTTTTTTGATGTTCTTTCAATTGTAAGTTTATAGGTGTGCATAAGACTACTTTGATGTCAACTGCCTGCCAAGGCTTTGAGGCCACAGACATGTTCCTCTGTGCATATGACTAATTTGAGAATCGGACGCTAAGCTTGTGCTTTTGTTAACTGCTGAAATGGACTTCCAAAGGGAAAGGGAAAATCTAGTAGATGTCACTGAAGAACCAAAACAAATTGGGACAGAGCAACAAACCCCTTTAAATAAGTGTTTTCTCTCTTCTTCAGGTAAACAGAATGCACTGATAATGGGTAGAAAGACCTGGTTCTCCATTCCTGAGAAGAATCGTCCTTTAAAAGACAGAATTAATATAGTGCTCAGCAGGGACCTCAAGTATGTATGATGAGCAATAAGCTTGTAAAACAAATAAGTCTATACTCAAAAATACGTGTAGAAATACATCCTAAAGTAATTCTAAATGTAACAATTTTGATATCTGGTTAGGAAGCATCTCGGATGTTGGTTCTGAGTGATATCACTACTTTACCTTTAATTTTTGAATTATTATTTTTATTTCTTTTATTTTTTAATTAGTTCACAAGATAATTGTCATTACTTTGCATAATAAATACTAGTCCTAGCTCTACACACAAACCATCTGACAATTGTCAGTAGTCTTTCTGGCTTATGTATTTAACTGTTTCTGTAGTTCCTGGTTAGATTGGTGGCTGTTATTCCATTTTTTTTTTAAGGTTATGTTTATTAGCATTTAGGAAACAAGAACTGTCTTTTTTCAGACCTCTCTTCTTGAATGCATCACCTACAGTCATCCAAATATTCTTGAAATAAAATGTCCGCTTATAATGCTTTATTGCTTTGGAGGATGTTGATGGGTTTTGGGCTAAATATGGGGAGGGCAGGGGATAGGGGCTTTTTGACTAGTTTTATTGAATGAAATATTAATGTTCTAGAATTCAAGTAGAAATCTATATTTAATTTTATAGATCTCTAAACTTCTCTGTTATGCTTTTTTAAAAACATATGAAATTTCAGATCTTTAATTTATAGTGCCTCTTAAGTCACAGTTATGATTAAATTGTGATTTATTGAACAATCCTGCAGTCAGATGAGAGTTCTAACATAGTTTAGCAATAATAGGGATTTCAAAGTAATTAATTAATGTGAAACATTTAGTAATTTGTGAATTCAGCAAAACACATTGTATGTCTAGATTGTATTTATTATCATGATGACTGTTCTTTTAATTATTTAATAATAAAACTTTGCTTTTTCTAGGGAAACCCCAAAAGGAGCACATTATCTTTCCAAAAGTCTGGATGATGCTTTAGCTCTTCTGGATTCACCAGAGTTGAACAGGAAAGTAGACATGGTTTGGATCATCGGAGGCACTTCAGTTTACAAGGTACATTCAGGGTATTCCTAAATTACTCGTTTTCCTTCATGCAACCCAGCAAACTCCAATGATTGTAACAGAACAAGTCTTGGAGAGTAAAATTTCAACTCACAAGTTTAAAATACCTGTCCAAGTAACCAAATATCACTCTTGCTAATGGTCCAGTGTCATACAGTCATTGTGCTTTTGACAGCTTTTCTTAAAAATCTAAATTGTTAGGTTTTTACACCAAGACCCATATTATTAGGTTTATTTTACTGAGATGATAGTAAACTGACTCTGTAGAGGATGTGGGGAAAAAAAGGATTTTAAAAGAGCTGGCATGTGGTGGTGTCAGCAATAAATACAAAAAAAATGTAGAACTGTTTTCCTCTGGGCAGCACCCACATTCCAGACAGGTTCCAGACCCAGGGTAGCAAGCCAGAAGGGTTACAAAGGGTAGCCCATGAACCGAGGCATATTCACACATGTTTCAGGTTTCCAAAGAACCTCAGACTGAAAAGGGATGCTGGCACCTTCTTTCTGCACAGGGTCATTAAAGATGTTTAAACACCTACTTTATCTGAAATACTGCATCCCCTCTGTGCCTCATGCTGCCCTGCCCAGATACCATGCTGAAACACAAGCCTGGCTTATCCTCATGTAGAGAGTTGTGCCAAGGTGGAGCGTGTATCCATCTGCCTGAGTGTAGAAGGGCACTCTTTGGGATGCAGGTGTCCAGCCTGTCTCTCAGTCTCAAGTACGGATGGCTCCTGTGCCCTGCTCTGCCGCTAAGAACTGAGGCAAGCAAAGGTGCTAGAGTATGTGCTCCATGGTGGCATTTCAGGACAGGATGCTGCCCTCAGCAGTAGAGGGCCAAGGGATGGGATGGAGGCAAGGGACTGCTGCTGTTTACAACCTCTTCCTTATATACAGCCTCTTCCTCATATAACTGCAGGGGAGAGAGGAGCAAGCCTGACAGTGTCTGAACATTTATAAGGACACAGTTCAGCTGTCTATTTCTTATGGCTGTCTTGCCCACTGCCCCTGGGTTCTGAAGGATACAGTTCGCTCCAGGGTGGTGGGAGTATTGGCATAAGCTTCCTCAGGTCCTGTGAAGAACAGAGAAAGGTGAGCTCTGAACAGGGTGGCCATCCAGGTCTTCATGTAGGTTACATTCATGCTGTATTCAGCAGCATACTCAGGGAAACTGTCTCTTCTGGGCCTTGACCTCTGCAATGGGAAAAGGCAAAGCAACTAAACAGTAGGGATCTTGGTGGGGACAGGGAGAGCTGAGTAGAGTATTAGTATTTGGAAGTGAGAGCAGAAAAGATTGAAAACTGTTCTCTGAGTCCACTGAGGGTTCAAAACCCTTGTGCAGCCTTCATTTTCTAAAATTTGATTTGACACTGATCACCTCATCAGCTTTGCAATCTGATATAGCCACAAGGTAGTAGTGTGCCTCCAGGAAGGCTTTCGGATTTCTCACAGCACAGGTTTACAAGTTTCATTTCTTTGGATCTCAGTGTGACACCGTACTGGATCTTCTGCACTCTTCTGGATCTCCTGAGTTCTGGAAGGAGTTGATGTTGTTATTGATTATACGGATGAGGAATGAATGGAGCAGCCCAGCAGTGGCCAGTAGGTCACAGCAATTACGAAGCCATTATGCGTCATGAGAGGCACTCCATAATTTTGCATGAGCACTTAATGTTTTGAGAGCTGTCTGCTGGCTCATGAGTGCTTGCTGTGTGCTGGAAAGCTTGTGGTGGTGAGTCAGTCATTGGTTCTGACCCTTGAATCCCTATTAGCTGTTAGAGCTTATCAGACCTGTTCCTGGAACAGATTTTCTGGCTTGGTTTCATCCCCAAGAAATTTAGTTCACGCACATGAAGACTGCTCCTCAGTGAAACGTTTAGTTTGCAAAGTATTGTGAGTGGGGCAATTGGAATACTCATTTCAAAACCATGTTTCTGTTCTGAGTTAAGATACTAATGTAGATGCACTCTGTGTGGAGGTATTGTCACTCAAGTGAGAGGTTCAGGTCTTAGCTTTGAGAAACAGCACTACCTGGAGATCCTAAGGGAGTCTGCTCAGTAGATCAGTCTCTTTTAACTGGATTTAAACTGTGTGTTTTAAACTGATTAAAAACAATATTCAGATTTTACTAGGCATGGGAACTGCAAGTCCAGCACATCCCCAAATATTAAACAGGGACTTAAAAAACAAACAGAAAAAACCAGGTGTAGATTTACTTAGGTGGATAGTATGGTATTATGATATGTTATTTGTAGAGTGTTTAATATAAATCTTGCTTTGTAAAAATAACCAAGCACAAATCCCTAACAGTGAACCTACCAGTGGAAGAAAAACCCCAAAACCCAAACAAAACCTAGCAACAAAACTTAAAAAAAGGAAAATAATTGAAAAATTTATGACTCAGGTCCTCATAACCAAGGCCTTTTTAGTAACACCAAAACAGGCTATATGTCAAACAGGTTTTCACCTTGATAAAAGTTTTTTCCTACAGCATCTTGAACATTTAAAATTGTTTCTTCTAATTTATATATTCTTACTCAGCTTGTTGCTTTCTCAGTGCCACAGAAGCAAACAATTATGCTCAAGGTCACATTGCTGAAGTACAGAATTATATTTGTGTATTAAATTTGGATAAGAAACTTGTAATTTTGTAACAGAACAAAAAGTTCTTTCTTATGAAGTTTTGTTATTTTTGCTGTTTAGTTAATATCTAGGCTGGCCATAACAGAATATAGATGCTGGTGACAAATAGCGTTTGGGGAAATTCTTCAACAAAGAGGCTTGAGATGGAAAATTAAATTTCCAGTAATCTCCAAGTGAAAATTTTATGTAATGTTCATGCTCAGGTGTCTTCCTATGTATAGTATTTGACATACTGCATTTGGTAATCTACCCCCTTTCATTCTTCAAAATTACTGAATTATGAAGTTGCTATTCATATTTAGTGCAGCAAGTCTCTTGCAGATGATTCATTACCCTCTTAAATAGAGTTTCTTGACTAAGGGTATAAGCTTCACTAGGTTCTGAATGCCCTGGGTAGGTTCTGAATGCCACATTTGCTAAGCTTCAAATCTTTGCTGTACCATAGGATCACTTCTTTAAAAGAGAGAAGTATTAACAATTTGAGTCACTAGTTTTAATTGTGAATTTTTCAATGCTGCCAAAACTTCACTAGCTTATACTAAAATACACATTTTAAAGATTACATTTTAGTATGTCTGAATTTCTGTAAACTGTAAGAGATATAATAGTAATTTTTCTGCCTTCCCTGCATATAAGACTAAGTGAGTTTGAGCTGGGTACCTGTTGGAACAGAAACTAACGTGTATGTTACCACATTTTTGAAGTGTTGCATTCAGTCTGAGATGTGACCGAGGACTGAGATCCACTTACAGTGGAGCTACACAGACATCTTGTTTTTCCATGTTCACATGCTCCACTCTTGCAGGTTGCAGTGCTGTTGCTCCCTTCAAACAGTGGTCTCAAAGAACATGCTGCAAGGACCAGGCTCCTCTGAGCTGCGTGATGCTCTTGACATGGAGGATGTCACACTGCAGGTCCAAAGCAGTGTTCTGCTCCATTTGCAATGGACTAGTGGATTAACTAATAATTTCTTTTAAAAGTTCAAGAATTGTCTTTTATTTAGCATTTTTATACTTTCAAAGGCTTGAGAGGGACATACCCAGCTTTTCTAGTACAGTCTTCAAAATAAACTCTGAGAATTTTTAATGTGGAAGGAAAGGTGTCATAGTGTTATTACAAAAAGCTTGCTTAGGAGTGTGCTTGTTCTTGTGAACAAACATACTGATTTGACATTCCTCTGGGAAAAAAAAAGGTTAATATATGAGTCAGCTGCAGACACAAATCATGCAGCTATGAAAAACTGCTGCTTTTAAGTTCTTTTTCGAAGATGCTTGCAGAGATCATAGAGGAAATTATTTAAATGACCCTCCTTTAAGACTAACACATGGAAAAGTCTAGTGACTAAAGTGTATCTGTTTCTGCAAGGGCAAAATGGTCAGGCTTTTTGATAATGGTCATAGAAGAATTTTGTTGGATTTGCCTTTGTCCCTAGCAGAGAACTAGTGGTGGGAGCTACCACAGCGTGTCTTCCCTTACTAGGCTTAGCCTTAGCGCCTTGGGAAGTAAGGCTGTGCCCTACCTTGCTAAGCTGAGTCCTAGCAGTGTGGGAAGGAAGGAGTTTTAAAGCTGTTGATTCCCCTGGTTATCACTGCAACTATCCTAACAGCTAAAGTTTAACTTAGGCAAGTCCTTCTGCCTAGGTAAGAACTAGAACTTTGTGAGATCTTCAGCAGTCAGATTTTTTTTAATGTATTTTTTTTTATTCTCTTGTGGCTTCAAAATGCAGCTTGCATATATGATCCAATACATGTTGAGGGTTGAAAAACATAATGCAAATACACAGACTGTTTATTCTGAAATTTTCTCTTTTTAGTGTTTTCATATTTTGTTTGAATGGGCAATGTTGTTGTCTAGAAAGACACTTGAAAAATAAGTGCCTTACATAGTTACCTTTGGCTGTTTTACTTATTTTGTGTAATCAGTAGAAGATGAGAAAGCAGAAGCAGTGTGTGTGTCCTAAAACCTGTGAATCTTTAAATTACTAGAAATAATTGGTCCCTTCTATAGCAATTGGTTGCTAAGCCCGCTAGTTTACAGTGGTTTGGTGATTGGATCTATAAAAGATTAATTTTCCATATAATACTTCTGAAACTACTTGTAATACACAGCTATTCTTTGTTGCAGAGCTGTTTTAACCTGTGTTCTACAAAGAGAAACTAATTCGAGTCATGTGCAGATATAATCTAATCTTGTATGGCTGTCAGTCCAATGCAGCTGGAAATTATTGGGAAGATGATCCTTAGGTCATCTCCTTTTTTGCTTTGTGCTTCAGAGGCAGGCCTGTGAAGAATTTCTTGGAAGTGAGCAAAAAGATGAGGGTATGCTAAAATCTTTTCACAGGTTTATGAAGAGACGTGTGAGTAATAAAGGACTCTGGTTCACATATAGGGTTGATGTACCTGGGATAATAATCCTGACACTCAGCTCTCCTGTCCTCCCTCTCTTGTGGAAAGCCATCTCTGCTTGAGGTTCTGGTGTTTCTGAGAGATGAACAGTCACTGTTTTAATAGGCTGTGCTTTAATGTGAACTGAAAATCAGCACTGATTTTCCCTGTTGCATCAGACTGTAGTATCTTAAAAGGTTCAGTGGCTGCTACAAAGGAGGTGAGCCTGTGTGGAGAGTAAACACATATGCAGCTCCCCAGGGAAACCAGTGCAGGTACAAATATAGTCCAAGGATAACTGATTGGATTATGAGGGAAAAACACAGTAAATTAAAATCATACCAAGAATGGCTTTGTGACCCAGTGTGACAATGGAGTGAGAGTAACATAATGACCGTGGAGTGAGGATGAAGATTTTTCAAATTTACAGAAGCATAACGTGAGGGACATCATAATTTTGTTTTAGAAATTTCCTCCTGCCCTGGTACAATTATTTCCAAGTCGTCTTTCACTATCTATCTTTTCCATCACATGTATTATCCTCACACTTAAAAAATATGCAGAAACAAAAAAGGCAGTACTGAAGTCCTACTTATCACTAGAAATATATTTAGTTACTGCACATTCTGTTTAAATGTTCAAGATAATTTACATCTATACCTTTGTATTATGTATATGTTATATTAAAACCAAGTCATATTCACTCTATTCTGTTCATTAAATAAGCAAAATGTATATTTTCTTGATTAAATTCAGAGTAAGTATGTCAGCATTCTGTCAAATCAGCACTGTGCATCCTGTAATTTGTCTTCCGTACCAAACAGAGGTGGTGAAACTTGTAGGAGTGGGCTGGACAGGGCAAGAGTCAATTGAATGTCAGTGATGAACTACCTTAATCCTCACGAAAATGCCCGAGTTGTGATAAAGCTCCTTCCCCATCCTGCCAGGTCTGTAGCAGTAGTTTGCAGAGGTGGTATCAGAGTCCAGTCCTCAGGTTCCTTTTAGAGAGTCCACACATGGAAAGTTTCATGTTTGAAACAAAATCTACTTATCTGCAGTTTTCTGAAGTTACTGTCAGGGAACATGGAGGACTAGGTGTTCCCAAAAGGACAGGACCTGGGACCCATGGGCAATAACCTGACTGGCATGACGGGCCTCGCCAGCCAGGTCTCATGGTGATGAGGCAGGTCCACAGGGTGGGATTAGGCCCCCGTGATGGTAACCGGAGTCAGACATAGCCCTGGGATGATTACATGGGGCCATGGGGACAGGCCAAGGCCAGGTCAGGATGCCAGCCCATGATGTGATCCAACTATGTATACTTAAATCCCAATACAAGTGAAAATTAGACTTAACAGAGTAGAGCAACTGAAATATAAAGTTCAGTCACTTTACAAATGTGTTTCTCCTTGCCTGTCGCTGTAATATGCTCACTGTCATGACGCTGGGCATTCCCAGCTGCTGACAAGGGATATGTGGGCTGAAACCAGCTCAAGTCTGTTTCTCTTCCCAAAGTTCTTTTTGTTTGTTGTTCGGTTTTCATGGGCCACGTACACACACAGACCTCCAGAGCTGGTCTGGCTAACTCTGGAAGCATTTGCACTTACTTTATTAACTTGGGGACAAACAAAACAGCTGGTTGGTTCACTCAACTAATGCAACCATTTATCTAGAGTGGAGGTCACCCTCCAGTCCCTTTTGTGCCAAGTTCAGCTTTCTGTGCAACATCTGTCATCAGTCACTCCCTACGCTCTTCCCTGACCTGCCTTGGTGGTACAGAGTTCTTGCTGAAGCTGAATTCCCTTAGAGCTGGATAGGAAGTTGTTTTATTCCTCTACTACAAAACAGGAGTATCTCTGTTTACAGAACACGGTATCTCTGTTTACAGAACATGCTATGATTTTATTTTAAAGCAGATAATTCTTCTGTCATTCTGTAGGTGCATGTTTCTCCTCTTACCTCCCACCCTTATTTAGAGAAAGAAAAAATGTGATATTTGTATACAAACTAGATGAACACCCGTTCAATGCTGTTGGATGCTGCTATGCTGTAACTTACCCCTTCCCTTTTAAGCCGTTCTGTAGCAATAGAGCAGCTTTTCTCGAAACTTTCTCAGCAGTGATACCAATTAATTTTATTGGATGAAATTTGCTATTACTTGGTTCCTGTACTTGTCAAAGTGGTACCTAACAGCATGCTGCACGGTGAATCACCTTTAACAAAGAACATTGCTCATTGCCAATTTAAGGCAAGGGAAGAAACAGCTGTAAGCTTTTCAAAAATATATTGTAACCTGGCACCAGTATAGCTTTTAATGAGTTATTTAGTTTAATGCCAAGAAAATCTGGAAGAGGTGACTTTTCAGTCTGATCTGGAGATAAAACTTCTTTTTTTTAACTCCTGAGTTTGTGTGACTTCGTTGGTGAGGAACTCACCTAACAGGTGTCTTCATAACTTTTTTCATGTAAGGAGCTTGGAAACTTTCTTTGATGTTGTTGCTATATAACTTTCAATACATATTATCAGTTTGCCATAATCCAAGGATCAAACTTTAAGTCAGTTAAACTGATAGATAATTTGATCACTGGAATTGAAAACTAATGCAGAGTAAAACTGCATTATAAATCCTTAGCAGCGATATTAATGAAACATTGGAACTAATTACCTTGAGGTGTGGGCCTCTCCCACCACTTAAAGCTCTCTGTCTTTCAAAGAGGTGTGATTCAGAAATTGCTTGCTGAGACTAGGCCATACTGCTCCTTTCTTCTCACAGGACTACTCATAATTTTTCCTTAATTTCTATCAGATGCTGCAAGCTTTGGGAATAGGTATTGCTGCCAGTTTCCAGGTGGAACTGGCACAAGATGAAATTAGCCCTTTAGAAAATGCTCTTGGGCAGAGTCCAAAAGAGGAATTTTAGAGTTCAATTTTCACTGGTTTGCTTAAATCCCATAATATATAAAATAGTAATTGAGTTTCGGTTTTAGGTAACATATCTGGCATGCATTGTACAAGTAGGGAATAATGCTGAGACTTCTGTCTGTTGGTTCTTTTTGAATGCTGCCATGGTGATGGTTGGTGCAGGCAGAACAAGAATTTGGAGAGTTGGTCAACAAAGCTAGTATTTCAAATAATAACTTGTACTTGGTATTATCTGACAGACTTCAAAAGTGTTATAAAACAAGAATATTAAAAATGTTAATAAACAACACTACGTCATGCATGGTTGAGCTGTTTTAAAGGGAAGAACTTCATTTTAATCATTTCTATTGTTTTTAAAGGCAGCAATGGAGAAGCCAATTAATCATAGGTTATTTGTGACAAGAATTTTGCAGGAATTTGAAAGTGACACATTTTTCCCAGAAATCGACTACAAAGACTACAAACTTCTCACAGAGTAAGTATCAAGATGCATACTAGTCTTGTGCTCAGATGGAAGACTTAATCTAGTTTGAGTGTGTAAGGGTCCTATTAAAGCCGTCTTTTGTTTTGAGTTGGAGGTGCTTTTCACTGTATTTTTCCCCAGAGTCATATTTGACTTAGAACCTGGAATTGCACCACACTCAGCACAGAGGGATTGTTTGAACTTGCTGTGTTCTTCAACCTTCCCATAATCTTTACTGTAAAGAACTGCATTTGTTGATTTGCTTGAAAAGTAACTTTCTTATTGTTTCTCATTTTAGAATTACTCAAATATTTACTAAGCTTCATAACTCTCAGTATGTTGTTAGTCAATGGTATTTAACCTCTGAATGTCTCTGATAAATTGCCAAAGATAAATTAAATGGGTTTGAGCAGGGAGGGTTGAGCCTTTATAGATTTCTAAGATTATTCCTTTCTCTTGAGAAAACTGCTTCTTCCTAACAAATTTAGCAGGAACAAGTATAGCACTGTACATTTCTGTCATTCACTGTGGTTTCTTCTATGTTGTCCTTGTCATATTGCAGTCATACTTTTTTGTCCTCTCCAACAAGATTACATCCAACAGGCAGTAGGGAGGTGGCAAAAATTCAAATGTTTGCCTCAAAAACCAGCAAGGAAGGGACCTTTTCCTCTTGCTACTCTCATTTTGGTTGCCAGCCAGTTACAGACCAGCAGTGGAAGGAACAGAATGTATGGCAAGTCAAGCTCTCTGCACGGGGCACAGGAATGGATTAGCACTGAAGTGGGGGAGCATAGGTAGGGGCAGGAAAAAAAGATGTGGGAGAGACAAGCACGGTGAGTGGGGAGGACAAGTCACCTTTTCCAACTCTAACGTGTTCTGAACTGTGCTGTGCCATATCATGAGCCCACTTTAGTATCCTGATGCCTTACTCAAAGTTCCCCTCTCTCCCTCTTGGCTGTTTCTCAGGTATACATTGGTTTTGGCAGGTGTACTGAAATCAGAATTTGGCCTTAAAACATGAATTTGTAAAATAGCAGATAACTCCTTCACTAAAGTGGAAAGCTGATAGAGAAAAACCTAGCGAATAAAATTTAAAATTTCTTTCTCCCTCAAAGTCAACATTACTCATACAAAATATTTATTCTGTCATAGGGAGCTGAAGAGATTTTTGAAAGTGTTAATAAAAACTGTTTTAGTAAATCTGGAATATAGAGGAACACTTTGCATGGTGGCAGTTAGTTACTTTAAGACGCTGTCGTAGACTTGTAGGAAACCTTTACCTTAGAATTTCCTCTAAACCATCTGAGGAAAAGCAAAGCAAAATAAACCCAAAAGTGTTATGTATCTCTTCTACCTTTGCAGACATTTTAAATAATGTGTTGGAGGCTTTAATAAAAATGTTGGGGTTTTTTGATTAAGCCCAAAAGATGGGGTTTTTTTGCATCAGAGTATGCTTGTTTGATTTAGAAAAATGTGCATACAAGTTGCTGGTAGTAGTTAACATCCCTAAAAGTAATTTGTACTTAGTATACCTGTTGTAAAGATGGTATTTTCATCTCCTTTTTCAAACAACTCTCTTTTGTAATTGATTGGATAAATTACAGGTGACTCATAATGATATTCTTATCTACTTGTTGACTTTTGCTTTTTCTTCTCCCTCTTTACAGGTACCCAGGTGTCCCTGCTGATATCCAAGAAGAGAATGGCATCCAGTACAAATTTGAAGTGTACGAAAAAGCTGTCTTGGCACAATAAATGAGGCTTTCTGTACTTCTGTGTAAGGGCAGGCATTTTAAATCGTAAAGTCTTACTGAGTGCAAATATATATTAAACTATTAAGATAATATTCTGCTTGATAGTACAATACCTCAGCAGTGAATGATTCCAAAAAACACACCCCACACCCTGAATATCCACCCTGCAGTGGAAATACAAGTCAGCAGCATGAAAAAGCCTCTAAGGAATAGTGCAAATAAAATTGCATGAGATCTTGCACTGATCTTTACAATCCGTGGCAGCATCCCTAACAATTCCGTGAGTAATGAAAGGCATTAGACTGCATCTGAACCTTTCTACCTAAACAAAGGTTTTGAGTATTCAAAACATCCAACACTGAGAAAGCGTCAAAACTCCTGAGTTTGATGCGGTGGTATATACATTTAAAATGTACTGGTGTGGAGGAAAAGGTAAGCAAGCATAAGAAGAGAATGGAGTCTGGAAGTCTCAGGCAGTGGTTGAGGGTATGTTGATCCTTCATGGAAGTCCTCTCTTCTCATCGTAGCTATCCTGGGTAGACAGCCTACTGGAAGCCTTTTGGCTGAAAACACTGACTTACAAATTAATCTGATAAAGAAGTTTTAACATTTCAATTAATTTCACACCCATGTAAAAGCTTGTTGCTCTTATAAAAAAGTTGCTATGTCAGTTTAACCGTGGCCACTTTGCTTTATAAGAACATAAACGTCGCTTTCTTAACAGAATCTGGGTTCTTATGTCCTTTCCAAATGTTACCAGTGCAGATGTGAGTTGCTCAGTGTGACGGTGAATGTTCTGCGTGGCGTAAAATACAGATTATAAGCAAATAGTTGAGTCCTGTTTCCTCTTCAGTTAAATACAGCCAGTATAGTAGTATTTTCCATGAGAGTAGCGAGCAATATACCGGTACTGTAGTAACACTGTGATTCTAGATGGCATACAATGCCAAGTGTTGACCAAAGTGTGCTATTGCCAACGTTACCATGACATGATCAGTAATATTAGTTTGTTGCTATGTTCTCGCTGTGGGGAGTTTGTCAGACGGCAGAGGACTCTGCGTTCAAAGTGCCATGGAGAGGAGCTGGGACATGCCATGCCCACCTATGCTTCCTTCTGCTGCAGCTGCCACCCTCGGAGTGAGAGCCTCCAGGGAGGGATTCTGTGTTCTAATGTCAGGGAGGGTGGCACTGGCCACCAGCAGGTTTTACACATAACTGTACAGAGGAGCGTAAGGGTGCCTGGTTTTCTAAGAAGCTTAAACCTTGATTTTGCTTGCTTTTGAAAAACCAAACCTCTTCGATAAGTGAAAAACACTTGGATATCAGCTATGAAGACCTCTTGAATTTTCCGTGGCAATTTACAACTTTTAACTGATTAAAAAGATAATTTTTGCAGCATCTGTTCTGGCTTGTCTCAGTTTTATCTGTGTTCCTTTTGCATTCTCAAAAATGTGAGTACTTTCCTGTTTTGATCTTTCTCCGTGTGCGCTGACCTTACATCAGTCAATAAAGATTCAAACAGCAAAGTTACGTGCTTGCATAATATGGCAAAAAGTCTCCCGAACTTTAATTTGCCAGCACAGTGTGAAAGGGAAAGAAAAAGACTGTTAGCAGAGGGATGTTATTTTTTAGAAATATGTAAGTCACTGTGACCCTGGCAAGAGAAAATAACCTCCCAAAAGCAGTTAATACGTGCCAGTTTGTATCACAAACCAGGTCACTGTTGAAAGCTCTGCACAGCTGGTGTGCAAAGAGCTGTGTTTATGGTGACTGACATTTACTAAAAGTGGAAGCAAAGACTTCATGTGATGTTGGCTTACGTTGTGACCCTGATGGAAATGTTCATTAGAAAATTTCTGCCTGAGCATACGTTGCAGGAGATACAGCTAAAGTGTTTTGTAGGACCACTTTGGTTACAAAGAACTTGGGTGCAAACAAGCCTACTGGGAACATAAATAGTTGTTCTGACTCTTTGTGGACCTAGTCCTCCAGATTTAACTGTGTTCATATGTCAAATTCTGCAATAAATTAAGTCCATTTATGATTCATGGAAATGACAACTTTTGAAATAACACAGCAGTTTCCTACTCAAAACTTTTCAGAACATTAATGGTGCAGTTTCAGTATGCCACTCTGCCAAAAAGACTCATTGTTTCTTTTGGTTTTTTTATTGTAATAAAAGCTCTGCATTTGGACAGCACCTTTTGCATCAGACCTTTTCAGTGTGTCACACAGATTCCGATCAAGAATTAGAATGCGTTGGATTGCAGCTGGGTCGAAAGGAACTTTGTTCATCCTAATGACAGACATTTCTGAGTTCAGGAATCATGTACAAAGACTCTTTACTGACAGGTGTATTATTTCCGGAGGATGGTTACTTTGCACATTTTTTTTTAAATCTCTGCCCTCTTAAGGATACCTCATCCAAAAACTGAGCGAAGAAAAATGGTCACTTTCTTCTTGTAAGGCCAGAGTTAGCGGGAGTTTGTGTGGGGCCTTTTTCAAAAGTGATGCTTCACTGGGTGACTGGGTGAAGCAGCAACAGATGCAAAACAAGTGTTTGTTGTTCACCTGCATTAGGCATTGCACCTGTTAACTCCCCGATTATATTTCTCAAGGGAAATATAAATATTTTATACTATGGCTTGAAGAAAAAAAAGAATAATCCTTTGTTCCAAATACAACTTTCCCACGTTTTGTTTACTCCCGTACTTCACTGATGTATGATTCTTTGAAAAGCCCTAGATTCTCATTATGTCTAGTACAGGGGGAAATGTCATGTTTTTCCCCACTTCTATGCAGCTAAGTGCAATGAATAGCATCATGAGTGACAATATAATTACCAATCACCAAGAAAAGTATAGTACAGATATAATTTAATCCCCCTCATTCATGCTTTCCCAGGAACAAAGTGTTCTAAACAGATTAAAAAATTAATTTTTAAGGATAATACTAGTTTTAACAAGATAGCTAAAAACAGAGGGTCTGCATAAGAGGTGAAAAACAAACTGTTAATATTTCTGTTGCTTTTCTACTACTCATTATCTCTTTTACCTGACAGTGGACAGTAATTTCCACTTGACAGTAGAAAGATGATGTTTTCAGTACTTCACCAGTAGCATTAAGGCCACGGTGTATTCAAGAACAGAATTGGGAACATTCCAATGACAAATCTCAGTCATGGAGAGCAATCCATGCAGAAGAAAGGTACACACTAAACAATACAAGTTTCCTAATTTAGCAAAGAGTATTATTAATATATATACAAAACACAAGGGGAAAACAGGAAAGAGGGAAATGACAATGAGTAGTTTATGCATGTTATATAAGAAGAGCATCAGGAGCACTTGACATGAGATCTTAATTGGGACCAGACAACCATATTGTCTTCATCAGACTACAGCTCATTTGCCAAAGGCTTAAACCTAAGCCCAAACTAATTATGAGTAGCTTAAAAGCTATGCTAACAGAAGAGGAAGGTATGCACAGGGAGCAGCTGGTCTGGAGAGGGGAGAAGCTGTGGGAAGGGCAGGTTATTAATCAGTGCAGAAATTGAGGTGACTAGGGGTGACAAATGAGGTGACAAAACTTGGGTAAGTACGAAACTAGGAGATATTTCCTTCATTATTTAGTTGTGCATTAATTGTCTCTTCTTCCCCAGGAGGGCCACAGGAATGAAGCCTACCAAGACAGGGTAGACTGACCAAAAAAAATCGCAAAAATATTCTGAAGAAACAGGTGCCCGCGCAAGAGTGGGAATGGGGAAAGAGAGGTGAGAAAAAAATTGATGTTTCCTAGAAGGATTATGTGGTTTCTTGTGTTAGTTTGCTCTGTAACTGTAATTACTAACGAAACACTTTCAAACTTCCATGGGGTTTAGCTCTTGTAAGATGCAATGACAAAGAACTTAATTAGTGAAGGATTTTCAGGATTTGGATGTCTGTGTGACTGCCTTTGTCAGCTATGCTGAAATCCTCAGCTATAGTTCCTATCCTGAAGTGCCTGCACTACATCTGAAAGCAGGAGTCATGTCCCACAGCATCCCGTGGCCACGGGTTAGCATTGTGCCTAGGCTGATGATCTCCTGCTTCTCCTGGTGGACAGCACACACTTCTGGGAAAACTGCCAATTTTTCTTAGTCTTCAATTATAAAGACTTGCTTTCTGCTGGCTCTGGGGTGATACTGGTTTTTTCCTCTCCTCTGTTTTCTGTCTGCAGATCATTCTGACTCCTTTTGCATAATGTCAAAGCAAAATTTGTACAAGAAGTCTTTTATTAGATTAATTGACATGGTTGGAAAAAGAACAGACAAGCTGTGAGACAAAGTCCTTTCCTGGTTACATTCTAAGACTTTTTTTCAGGTGACTTGAATAAGGGGTTTGTGCCAAAACTTGCCTGTTTATCTCCAATTAAATTGAGTGGTTTAATAAAGTAGATTGTATCACCATGTAAATCTTGTTTTGCTTGTATCTTTTAATGGTCTTGGCTTCAGCATTTGTGTGTGACCTTCAGTCCTTAAGCTGCGGTCCTCTCAATTCTCTTATCTCTTCAGCTGTCCTGTCGTATTGGAAATTTACAGAAATTCAGAGAATCGTTCTGACCAAGAAAAATAAGTATTTCAAATAGAGAGCTCTTAAGTCTTATATCTGATTAAGTGGTAGTAAGTGTTTTTCCTGAAAACGGGCCATATATTTGCCTGGTTAAGGAAAACTTTAGGTATGAAATTAAATATTTTGCTAAAATATGTCTGCTATGAAAAAAGACAGGGAAAAAAAGTAAATGCAGAACTTGATAGGACAGGAAATGGACAGTACACCATTAGTCATGGAAGCCTAAATCAATGTCTTTTCCTTCAGCAGTTCAGTTTAATGAGCTCCCAATACCAAGAATCTTTTTCAATAAACAAGCCATTATATGGAAGTCACTTCAGCCATAGATTGTGTCATTGATTTAATTGAGAAGGACACTTGCACAAAAACAGGGTGTTTGCTGTGTAGAAGTAACATGCTTTTAATGTTCATCCTTCCCTGGAACTCAGTTTTC